GCATGCCCAGGAGACCGGCACTGGTGGCACCGGTTGGGATTGGAAGTGCCTCTGTGTGTCCTGCACTGCTGGTGTCACTGCTCATGGATTTTGGGGTGCGTTCAGCCTTTTGTTGGTGCTGCCCTGGGGATGCAAAAGGAATGAGGACATCCATGTAGGGCCATCCATTGTGATGCTGCACAGCAATCCTGCTGGTTGGGGTTGTCCCGAGCAGAGGACACGGGGTCTGCGTGCCCCACCATTTCCCTGCGCCCACTTCCCAGGCACCACAGACTTCAGGTGGTGATCTCTGTCAGCCCCATTTCAGCCCTCTGTCACCCAGAAACCCCTCTACGAGGGGCTGCCTGCCCTCACACCTTCACTCTGTGCTGTCCATCATTGCACAGCCGGGCCGAGGGCTGATTTCTGCGCCGTGCAAGGCAGAGCTGATTTCACATGGCTCATGGGTCAAGAGATGACCATTTTAGGGCTGCTACTTCAAATGAGTGTTTAAAATCCCAATTACAGTCCTACTAAGGAGGACTAATTTGGGGCCAGTTCAGACACTGCCAATCATTAACCCCATGCAGTCAATCAGCTGCTCCAAGGCGTCGTTTTCCATTCCAACCACTTATAAAACCACTGTACTATTTTCTTCCCCCCAACCAGGAGTTAATTCATCGGTTAAAGGAATTTCAGTCGTGGTTTGAGGGACTGCAGCTTTTTATTCCCAAGCAGGATTATCCCATCCCCGTGCAATGGCTGTCATTAGCGAACCTCCACAGATGAAGCAGCCTTTTGATGTCACAAACCATATAAAAATAATAATTTGTGCTGTCTCTGTGCTTTGCAGCTTCCCTGTGGGGGGATGCTGGTGATGGAGCTTTTTTGCATCTCCTATTTCACGAACTCCTGGCTGGCTGAGGAAGCAATTTCCAGCTCGATTTGTTGTGCTTGTGACATGGAAGCCTTGTGTGTTTCAAAGCAGATTCCTGGAAAGCAGCGGCGAAGCCGATTTCATCTGCTCAGCAAAATCTTTTTTCTTTCTATGAAGCAACCTGCCACGTCAGTAATGGTTTTAAATTGACTTTCGCAGGTGCCCATCCACAAGAGATATTGTTTCCTAGAAACCAGAGGTTAATGGAGAAAGGCTTCAAAGAGAGCGAGGAGGGAGAAAAATCTCCTTCCTGCTCTGCGGAGCAGCAGCTGCTGGGTGGGAATAAAGGCAGCAATTACAGCTGGTTGGTGGGCAGAGCATCCTCTGCCTCGTGGAGATGAGGAGGGGAGCACGGGGCCATGCCCTGCTCATTGCTGGGAATGACCCCACCAGTGGGATCTGCTCCCTGTGGTGATGGGGCAGTGTGTTCTGGCCATCCTATGCCACACTTCTGTTATTAACACAGGGAGGAATCATCACTGCTAAAGGGAACAGTTTCCCTGCTGGGGAAGAGATGCTCTCCGTGGGTATGGCACCGTGGAGCCATGCAATAGAGGCAGTGGGTGACTGCAGCATTACCTCCAGTGGGACTGGGATTCACCTTAGGTGTTCTGCACCCGTGTGAGGATTTGTCTTAGAGCCACGCAAAAAATAATAGAGAAAAAGAGAAAACTCACATTATATTCGAACGGGTAGAGTCTAGAAGGAAATTTTGAAATGTGGGGGCAAGTGGAAAACCCACTCACATTCCTTATTCATGTGTTGTCTTTGCCATTAGAAAATGCCTTTTTGTGGGGATGGCTGGAAGCATTTGATGGACGCAGCACATATCCCATCCTTGCTGTGTAGCTGTGGGCTCCAAACACAGTGTTTCAGTGGGATCAATCCTCCAGCTTGGGTATTGCCAGGCTGCAGTGGCCCATGTTCAGTTTTCCTCCTCCCCCTCTTGCTTCAGGTGCCTCATGGAGGTCCCCCAGTCACCCAAAGGCTGAGCTGTGTCCCCAAGCCCACAGCACCCCAGCTCCCAGCACAGCATCACCCTTCCTTTGGAATTACCCATCCAAAAGGAGGACTGAAGATGCACTGAAGATTTCACCTGCTGGAACCTCCCAGATGGCTGCAAAGCACTCGCTTGAACTTGAAAGGCTGAGGAGCCATTAAATATGAAGGAAGGGTTATTTTTTCAGGAGCTGAAGCTTCTCTCCAGCCCTGCTGATGTCAGGAGCACAGCTCCAGGGGATGCTCAGGAAAGCAGCATTAGGTTCATTTCTTATGGAGGCTGTTTGGAAACCCCACCTGCAGCATTGCAAGGGCACAGCTTTGTCACTGTTGAAGCCCCACGGTGCTCTACATTCTGCCCAGCTAAACCTACCCCTGCACGGTCACTCCTGTATTTAAACTGGTCTGAGCTTCTGCACACACTGCAGATTGGCCCCACAGCGAAAGCAGCTCCTCAATCTTGAGGTCAGTTTCCATGTGCTGGCACTGAATGTTTAATGTGAAAAAGCCTGGAGCAAAGGAATAAAGTAAGAAATATTTAATTTTACAGCGTTGGTTTGCACCATATGTTTTCCCCTTCATGAATATTTTAGGCACTTCTGCTCCACAAAGGCTTTCTCTGTCGACTGTCAGCTCGAGTGCCTTCACATCCCCTGGGCTGGGACCAGTGGGAAATGTCACTGCACCATTCTCCCGCTTCAAAATGTCCCTATGGATGGGCTTTTGGGGACGGGGCTCCAGCATCCCACACGTCCTGCCGCCCCAGGAGCTCTCAAGCCTGGGCAGCACTCCAGGATGAGAAATGTGGTTTGTAGGATGCATGGGACACATGGCATTGTCCCCAGGGAGAGCAAACACCCGCAGCACCACCAGCCGGGTGGCCTCATGGAGCGTGTGATGCTCATGGGGCTGTGCCAAGCTCCTCGTTCCCATCCTGGCTGACGCAGATGGGCTGATGGTTGAACTAGATGATCTTAGAGGTCTTTTCCAACCTTAATGATTCTATAAGCAAAGCCCCTTCTGTCTTTGTGCCTGGTTCCTTGCTGCGCCCGTGGCCCAGGAACCCCCCCAGTCTGCTTATTGTGTTGTCAGAGGGTTGGGGATGGCCAAAAGGAGCACTTAGTGCAACACGGATGCCACACGCCGCACAATCTCTGCCACACAGACACATTCAGTAACATATATATATTATATTATATTTATATATATATATACACATTAACAAAGGATCTGCCC